GTATACAATTCACAGGGATCCCAGGGAGTTGCAGTGTACAATTCACCAGGTTCTAGGGAGTTACAGTATACAATTCAGAGGTATCCTAGGGAGTTGCAGTGTATAATTCACTAGGTCCTAGGGAGTCACTGACATTTCTTCATCAAAAAAAAATTATAGTTTACAGTTATTACTGTAGTAATCTAAAAAGCTGTTTGAGGGACTAGCATATGCCTTACATGGTTCATCTGTTGATAACTTTTGTGAACAAAATCCACTAGATAAATAAATTGCTAAAATGCTCATTGCTGAGTATTTTAATATTCTAACTGCCACTGTCAACTTGTGGTTGACACATGGTTTACACATGGTTATAACATCCCACTTGTTTATTGGTATGTTGGATCACCTGTTACACAATGTGCATTGGATATGTACAGGACTTTCAATTGATCTCTTGCCAATTTAAAACATTTATTGTAGTACTGGTACATGTAATACTGAATCTTTTATTTCAGGTTCATAAATGGGTGAATTATGAATCTATGCTTGAAAAATGTTTTGTTGGTAAACTTGAAGTCACAACATCAAGACAAGGTATTCACGAGTTAATTTTTTATTGTCATGGTTTTATAGCATTAATTTTATTAGTCATACATACTGCCTTCTCAAGCTGAATATTTGAGTAAATAGGTCTCATCTCTTGTAGTATTTTACCATTTTCCCACTGGTCGGTTTTATTTTGTTTACTAGGTCTGAATATACTCCACTGGGTCTGAATGTACTCCATTGGGTCTGAATATATACTCCACTGGGTCTAAATATACTCCATTGGGTCTAAATGTATGCCACTGAGTCTAAATATACTCCACTGAGTCTAAATATACTCCACTGGGTCTGAATATACTCCACTGGGTCTGAATATACTCCACTTGGTCTGAATATACTCCATTGGGTCTGAATATACTCCACTGGGTCTAAATATACTACACTGGGCCTGAATATACTCCACTGGGTCTGAATATACTCCACTGGGTCTGAATATACTCCACTGGGTCTGAATATACTCCACTGGGTCTAAATATACTCCACTGAGTATAAATATACTCCAC